CCCCACACATCAAACACCAACCTCATCGTGGCAGGGAGCAATTCATTTTCATGTTTGCCACATGAAGGGATGCCTGCCGTGTGCCTGCAGCTGAGTGCAAAGTGCAGATTAGGAAGTAAAGCCCCTGCTCCCTTGATGCATTAGCACCACCTCCATTAAGTTGTTCTCCCAGGGGGGTGATTCTGAAGCCAGAGGAGCTTTCCTGGTCCAGGAGATCTCATCCCCTAGGGCCATTTTCTGAGGGGTGCCAGCCCAGCACGACTCTGTTTTTAGTTTCTTACCACACTCTCTCTGACATTTGCTGCCTGTGGTCTCTTTCCCATCCCCCAGCCCAGTTTCAATTTAGGAAACTGAATGCTGCAATCATCAAATAGATATTTGTAGCATAATTAATTTCTTAGCTACACATTGGGTAAATAGTTATTAAAAAGACTACACTTAAAGCAAAATTTCTATTATAAATGTAAATGTTGCAAAGAATACCAGGAGATGGTGTGAACGGGTTCGTCCGTTCTTGGTAAGGAGGAAGTTATTACCACCAAGAACGTAGAGGTTCTGAAGAACCTGCAGACAGTGCCTGTAAGATGTGACTATCCTTATGTCAAATCACAGCCCAGCTCCCTGCAAGACCACAGAAAGCCCTTATAAAATGTACCAGGAGTTACTTCATGAAAATAGATTAATATATCTAAAATCTTTAGAATGATGAGCATATATAATAAATAAAAAATACCAGAATAGCTTCTGGTATTACTATTCTTATAGTGGTAGACTGCTGTATTAATAACCAATATATAATAATTAATATATATTAGTATATATCCATTATGTGTAATATTAATGTATTAACAAAATATACTAAATTATTATTTAAGGATTGGTAAGTTTTATGCTTAACAAGAGAGAAAATAAATAATGAGAGAAACAGAAAGAGAGAGAAAGAAACCTAAATGTGTGTGTGTGTGTGTGTTTGGGGTGATGAAAACAGTTTAGAGAAGCAACAGGGAGGTAAAGGCAGCTGCAGTAACCAGGTATGTGTCTCAAGTCTGGAAGCCATCTCACCGTCTGGTAGAAATGGTAAGATTTGTTCCATATTATCCCATGTTACCCTACCATCTATAGATGGAAATTATGTCCGGACAAAATGCATTCTCTGCTTCTGGAGGGAATACTGTTTAGAAAGGAAGCTCTGGAATATTCCTATGTGTGTCTGTGTGTGCTTTGTTATAAACACTGCAGGGCATATTTAAGGAAATACAAGTTGTTTCTAAGACTAGAATAGGGAATATAAGGAAGTGGT